AGGCTGGCTAGGAGGTCTTTTGTAACTGGTTTTGGGTGACCCATCTCAGCAGAAGGAACTGGTCGGCGTCGTCGACGGCATTGGGATATCGGCATCAGGTATGGAGTTGAGGTTTATGGCTGATCAGCTGGATCAGATGTTGATCCTTGATCTATCCAAGATGTGGACGCGGTCTATGGAGTTGTGACAGAGGGTAGAGAAAGGTTTTTCTTCTTCCTCTTAGGAATGTCGGGCAGAGCTGACTTGTATGTTGGAATAAAATTGAGAAGCAGAGACGCCTTCTGTTTATGGACTAGCAGGTCTAAGAGTTTCTTCAAATCCTTGTTGGAAAAGAAGCATTGGCGAAAGTTTTTTGATAGCTTAGGAACAGCTGCAAGAAAAACAGACGTCAAGAAACAGATAAAGTATGCAAGACTTTAAAAAACAAGTAAGTATGAATGCAAGGCTCGTACCATTACCCTCTACAAAGACCGATCAAGGGAGAAGGAAGAGATGGAGGCCTTCATTTGGGGCAAACTCCCAGTTTCTCGAAGTAATGAAATAGTCGTCCCCAGCTCCCTTGTTGGAGTCTGGGAGGTCGGCTACGATTTTGAACTCTGTTGACCTCGGCTTAAGGTAATAAATGTAGCCTTTTTCTTTCAAGTTAAGGCCGCACATGGTATAGCAGTATTGAATATCGGCTAGGGTGATCCTAGCGTTTTCCTATTTAGCTAAGGCTATGATACCATTGATCACTCGATAAGAATTGATGGCAAGTTGCATGGGGTTCAACTTATAATAATGGAGAATCTCGCGAAAAAGGATGTTGAGTGGAAGCCGAAGTCCACACTCAATAAAGGCAACTACAGGAAAAGGCATGGAGTTATCAGTAGGCATGATGGAATCATTATCCCCAGCCAACTTCAGATTGACATCGGCTGGAATTTCAAATTCTTGCCTAAAATGTTCTAGCTTGGACGGGGTGTCTATCCTATGTTTCCACATACCCATGACATCGACCTAAAGGTATTGGATCTCAGGAGGAAGATGTTTTAAAAAGGGTTGTTGGGACCTCGGCAAGAACCTAGGTATGTATTGGTGCAAGAATTTGTAAAGATTGTTTCAGTTCTTCCTAAGGATTGGTGGGTTCTACAGACAAATCCCAAACCTAAATCTATGAAAACGAAGATTGAAGGCACAAATCTAGAAAACAGAAAAACAAGAACGAAGTTTCGGAATCAAGAACAGATGTGGGGCTATCAAAAGCATAAGGAATACAAGGAGTATAAGGTCAAGAACAGTGACAAAGGCGCAAGAAAACGGTGAACAATACGTGTATTCAAGACATGGGCAAGGACAAAATCATGGAATAAATACATTCAGATATGAGATTCACAAATCGAATGTTTGAACAAAGCAGTAATGACAAGAAGTAGTAAAAAGCATCAGAGAATTGAAAACGAAAGGAACACTGGCTTACCAAGAAAAATGAAGCCGGTATGGAAATCGCCAAAGTCAAGCGAAGGTTGCAGAAGTAACGGAACGGCGAAAGCTTCAGCGGAAGTGAGGAATGAAGGCAGTTGCAGAGCTTGAAGTCTGGAAACAATGGCAGATTCAGGAGAGACGAGCTAAAGAGAGAAAAAGCAAGGATATCGAATGAGAAATGAAGAAATGAAAAAAGAGGAAAAAGTTTTGTTAAAAATCGAAACGGCGGCGAAAATGAATTAATGCGTCTAAAGCAACGAACGCGTCAGACAGCGCACGCAGAAGCAAGATGGCTTACAGGCGCGTCACAGACACGATCCCGTAAGGATGAAACACGTGGATGGAACAGTCGAAAGAGTGATGCGTGACAGCTCATATGTAAGAAAGAACTCTTGGAGTCCTAAGTCTTCATGGAGACATGTCGGCCTGAAATAAATGATCTCGGCAGAAGAAATTTTAAGCCGACGTACTAGAAGGAAGTACCGGTATAGTTTCCATCACCTCAGAATACCGAGATAATAGAACCTAGGGGGCAGTTGTGGAGATATATTTTCTGAGAACCAACACGTGGCAAGGTGACGCCGATGTGTCAGCCGAGGTGCCACGTGTCCTAGTCGAGATGCCGAGATAATCTCGGCATGGCCGAGGTTATCTCCGAAGATATCGGAATGCGAGATAAGTAGATAAGGGACAAGAGTCCAAGAATGAAGAAAGACTTCAAGATGGATCTATCCTTATCTCTTCGGGAGTCCAAAGTAAGTACTGAATAGGAGTCCATAGAAGTCAAACTTCTATTGGGACTAGGATTGAATTAACTATAAAAGAGAGGCACCCCCGTAGGTCTAAGGTACGCAATTTATATTCTGAATAGTGAGTTTTGCATTATTGATTATCTTTGAGAGATATACTGATTTGATCGTCGGAGTGTCTCCGGGTGGACGAACCACCGCCGGAGACTTCTCTTTCTGTTGCAGGTTAGCTGAAAGCCATCTATTCTGCCGGTGCTTTCCAGCTGATTACTAAGCGGGCAGTGTGGTCAGAAAATCACTCACACAATTATATATGAAAATGATATATAAAATTTTTTGTTTTCATTTTGTTATGCTTGGTTCGTAATAACTTGATATCACCTTTTAATAAAATGATAATACATGTGTGATTAACCACATTAAACATAATCTAATAAGTATCATGTATATATAAAAAGATAATACTTGATATCACCTTTCTTGTTTGTTGATCCCAAAAACATATATATATATATATATATACACGTCTCACAAAAGTTCAAAACATTAAAGAAATACATGTATCTTACAAATTAAGCATAACAAACTCACACGGAAATTGAATAGCAGGGATTACAAACCAAGCCTAACCAACCCTACACTTTTTACTCCAACACACACGGAGCTCCGATAGTATGCAAAAAGAGGTAGAACGAGACACGTGAGATGTGATATGAAAACTAGACCGTGAGTTGAATCCAATAACGTAAAAATAAATCGAAACGAAGTTATGACGAAGGAGATAGAAGGGCTTGAAGTGGTGGTTGCTGGTAGTAGTTTGCTAGTAGAAATGGGTGAATCTGCATCTTTCTTTTGAAATTTGGGACCAAAATATAATTTTTTAACTTTTTCGGTTTCAAATTTGATAACAGGGGCAAAATTGATAGTAACTTAAATAGTATAAGGGTATGTATGAAAATAAGAGCAGTCTGGGGGGTCATTGAAAATCGTGACAAAGTATGAGGTAAAAATGAAATAATCTCTTTATTTTTTAAGTTTAAGATTGATCAAGTCTGAGTTACTGATAAACCTACTATTAGAAACCTCCCCCAAATTTTGCACAAACCATTTTTTCTAGCATGTCAAGACAGTAAATCTAGGTTGGAAAACAAAAAGTACTAAATTAACACAATGAAAATAAATAAATGGAAAAATTACTACAACTGAATATACAATAACTAAATTAATATAAGAAGTAAATTACAGAGATCACAGATATAATTTATTCTAATTTAACACAAATTATACTAGTAGTTCTTAGACTTTCTCTCTTTTGTGTGACCCAATCAAGTTATTTAATTTAATTTAATATGCAAAATTATGTTTTTGTAAGTTATGGTTAGTGATATATATTTTTTTAATATTATTTCTTATTTGTTATGATAGTAGAAATTAACGTTGTAGTTCATACTTTCTTTTTATTTTAGTGCATATTGTTTGCCCATCTAAATTAAAATATATATATATATTTGATTTATCGTAGAAATTGATTTGTGCTTTTGATTAGTTGTTCTTAGGTCGGTCGATTAGCATTCTTCATGTTGCAAAACTACTAATGTCAACATCAGTTACCGAAAATAAAATAAGAATTTTTCATATAATAAAAAACGAATGTAATGATAACCCTTGAGACTGGGTCACTAACAAACAACGGCACCGTTTGGGAAGATAGTTTAGGAGTGTTTTTGCCTATTGTAATTATAAAAGATAAAATAGGTTATTTTAGTTACAATAAATAAAATATTACATTCAATCCATAATTATTACACTCTTCTCTCACAAAAAAATCAAAAAAGTCAAAAAAGTCAAAAAGTTCTTCCCAAACTAAACTTTTTAACCCAAGTTAAAATAGCCAAAAAAGCTAAAAAATCAAAAAGTCAACCCACTTTCCAAACCAACTCTAAAAAAACTGTTAGAGCTCAAGCAATTTGGTAAATACTGCACTGCTATTTAAATCCAAAATTTTCATAACTATACTAAACAAGTTTACAATTTCTACTCAAAGTCAGAATCTAAGATCTCTTTCAAGGAATTAACCAATTCACATCCCAAACAAAGCCATAGTGTACCCCAAACTAAGCCTTATATTATTATTTTTTTAATAAAGTTATTCACACGAATTTATACCAATTAGTATACTAATGAATGATGTAATATAATTTTAGAAGTTTTGAATCTTTGTAATTTGTATAATAGGTGGAGTCCATAATTTTGTTTAACAAATGTCATAACATAACATATGTTGGTACACTATTTTGAAATTGTAACATCATTATTTTGAAATTGTAACATGTAACATCATTATTTTGAAATTGCATCACCATTGTATTCTATTTTTACTCTTATGATAGAGGAGCCAAACAAATTATTGTTATTATTATTTTTTCTTTGTCGTTGTTTACCCTTTCATTACACAAAAAAGGGACTTCAGCGATATCTTAAAAAAGTCACTAAAACTATAACGCTGCTATAAGAAGAGATTAGGCTGACTTGCTTTCTATTTGTATGCTCTTGCAATTAATTATATGATTTTTCTTGTTTGTTGATCCCAAAAACAAAACAAAATAAGACAAAAAATATTGTTTCCCACATAACAATAATAATTTGTATGTCAAGAAGGATAAGAGAGATTTCCCAAATAAAATAATACATCAAATATATATATATATATATATATATATATATGTCTCACAAAATTTCATAACATTAAAGAAATACATGTATCTTACAAATTAAGCATAACAAACTCACACGGAAATTGAAAAGCAGGGATTACAAACCAAGCATAACAAACTCCACATTCCTTTACTCCAACACACTATTGAACATGTAGCTCATTATTAAACATACATACATACGCACTACATATTAATACCATTTAATTTTCATTATCAGGACCAGCAATCTGGGCTGGGAGGAAGCCTGTGAACAAGTCCCATGCCTTTAAGCGCACAACAATGACGGAGAAAATGAACCAGATGCCATATGGAAGCCAAATAAGCCAATCTGGGACCAAAGCGGAGACAAGCGAGGCTGGTGTGAGACCTGCAACGATCAGAGTAACATAGCAAAATCGAGCATAGTTTTCACCAATAATTTCCTGCCTTTCAAGTTCAACAAATTCTTTCAACACAAGGGCCAAGCTGTAGATGCATGCTGACATCAAGGAAGCTAGCATGCTCTTAGGGTGGGTTTTGAATGGTGACTCAGCTGCACCCTGATTAATTTGAATGAAACCAACCAGCAATCCAACCAAGGAGAAGTATACGGTAGCAGTGGATTTGATGAATACTCTTGCCCTAGAGAAAAAAATAAAGATAAAATATGTATGACATGTCGCAGGTTTCAATTTTTGTTGTATTAATTTGTACCTAGATTTTTTGATAAATTTTATAGTGCAATAAAATTTGAATTATTTTAGGTGGTTTGTTGAAAAGTTAAAAAAGAAAATGAATTTAGGGGACATATTACATAGTTTGAGATGGGCAAATTTGAAGACAATATAAAACATTTAATAAAAAAATTTAAAAATTCTAAACACAGTCTGGTTTGGACGAGTAGTAGTTAAACTTAATCATGAAGATAACTCTATTCAAAGAGTAGTCAAGCACTCCACCAAACCCTAAATTAAAATCATTCAACACTAAACACTAAAATCTTTCAACACTAATGGCCACCACACCACCCTCTCCCAATCCCTTTTTTAAATCTGCAAAAAAGAAAAAATTACTGATGCAATTCAAAGTACAAAGGATACAAACAACAACATCAAAAAAGAGAGAAAGAGGCATTCAAATAGCATCGAAGTATGCCGTTCAAAAAAAAAAAAAAATAGCATCGAAGTAAGCACGACTCGTCCAAACTAAGCCATCTGAATCCGTTTTCTTACCACTGGCAGCCACGCCATCAGCGGCGGCTATAACGGTGTCACCGGCGGCGGTAACACCATGCCGGTAACGCCGTCACAGGCGCCTGTAACGCCGTTGAATAGAAATTTGGACTATTCAAATGTTGTTTTTTGAAATGTGAAACTTTGGACAAGACAACAAAGAAGCTGAGAATTAACATAGCAAAGAAGTCACGAGTAATAGTAAACTTATCTTACCGGTGAACAGCAGCCTCCACTCTATTCTCGTTCCCTCTGTCTAGATCTGGAGGCATTCTTCTTTCTCTCTCACCCTTCTCAAAAACAATGAACTTTTTTACAGTGGTTTTACAAGTAGTTTTACTTGCAGTGTCACCTACTTTTATAATTCCAAACCCAAGCCAAAACCCAAACCAAAACCAATTCCCAAACCACAAAACCGCCCTTAAAAGAATCTTTCTGTCTAGAAGTAGGAAAAATCTAAACCACCTTAAACAGGGACGCACGCGGCAGGGGAGTGCGATCTAGTGTAACGGGGCAAAAGTGATATTAGTGCACACCCGATTATGACCCTCCAGATACTGACTTCTCGCTCAAGGAACTCATTCCAGCCGTCCATCTGACTCCAAAATATTTGGTTAGTGTAATTTTATTCCCCATATTGTTTGAATTGTATTCATTTTTAATGTATTAAAAATTCGGAAGTAGATAGGTGCTGTCACATCATACTCAATCACTTGTTCTTCTTGTCCTCTGTCTTACATTACTCACAATTATTGAATTACGTGAGAATTTTAAGACTTAAAAATCTCAAGACATATGAGTGTTTCCGGATAAAGAAATAAAGATATTTGAAAACAGGAGATCTTTGGATTGTAACAATACAATGGTGCCATTTTATTTATTCAACAACGATTCATTTCCTAAAATTAAAGCTTTAATTAAACTTTAATAATATGAAAAATCACAACCAAAAAATAAAATAAAATAAAATTAAAACATCATATTAGATAGGACCTACACATAAATTAGAACTATTAGAATTCTCTCCCTAAGCTCTCAAACATTTCTATTGCTTATTATATACAAAAAATAATAAAAAAATTGAAACGCCTTAAGCCGCGTTCTTACTCTGGAAACAAAGAGTGTAGAACGACACTTTTAAATTTCTCTTGTTTATTATATCAAAAATAAAAAATAAAAAATAAAAATTGAAACGCCTAAAGCCGCGAGTGTAGACCGATACTTTTAGGTTCACCTTAGGAAAATAAGGAGCAGCTATAAACAAAAAATAAATAAATAATTGAAATTTATGATATAGTAGTGTATTAATTTTTTAGGTATTTAATATATTTAAATTTTTTTAAAAAAAAAATAGTCTATAAATTTTATTTTAATACATTTTCTTATATTTTTTTTAAGAAAATTAAGTTAATGCAATAGTGCAAACTTCCAAGGTTTCGTCAAATTTCGATAAGGATAAACTTTTAAATTTCTTTAGCAATTCACAACCATTCTTACAAAATTGAAAGAGATGGCATTTGATTAATATGTAACTATTACCTTGTCATTATTGTAATTTTTTACTTTTCAGAAATATTGGACTCGATCATATTATTTTTTACTTATTTTAATGATTTTGGAATTTGAATTTTGAATGATTTGGTATGGGAAGGAATTAGATTTAGAATGATATTGAACATTGAATTTGTTGATTGGTTCACAGTTTAAATTCAACTTTTTTTTTTTTTTTTATTTAATTTAGTTGTTACAATTACATATATGGTAGTTACATGTACTTTTTATATTATATGGATAATACAGGTTGTATAATTGAAGTACATTTGTTTCAAGTGGCTTATATTTCAACATTAGTTTTCTTTTAAAATTTAGAGTAAATTACATTTGTAATCCTTAAATTTTGTCCCTTGTGTCGTATTGGTCCCTATACTTTCAATTGACTTAATTTTGACCTTTAAGTTTTTAGATTTTTATGTCGATTTGGTCTAATTGATAATGAGGTTAGGATTTTGGATGAAAAATAGTTACAAAGGTAGTTGATGTTAACTCAATAAATTGATAGAACTTATAAATTTGCCCTTACATGATATATGTAGCTCATATGCGCATTTTTCATTAAAAAAAAATTAACAATTATAATGAATTGAATCAAATTGGGACAAAGTCAAAAATATATAGTCAAAATCAAATCAAATTAAATTGCATGAACCAAAATAACACAAAAACAAAATATGAAAACTATCGGTGAAATTTACCCTGAAATTTATTTTTACAAAAAAAATGATTTTAAGACAAATAAAAATATTATAAAATTCAGTTTCTATACAATTTTTTACTTATTTTTTCCAAGTAATTAAACCTATTATTTCTTATAGCAAATGTGAATTTTATTTCTATTTTTGTCACCTAAATCCATTCACTACAGTTGAACTCAACAGAAAATGGTGGGGGTGTTTCAATTATTATTTTTTATTTTTTGTTTTGTTTATAGCTTCTTCCTTATTTTCATAAAGTCAACTTAAAAGTGTTACTCTACGCTCTCCACCTAAAGCAAGACCGTGGCGTGTTTAATTTTTTTTTTAATTAATAAACAAAACGGTGTAATATAATAAACACAACGGTCCCGTTTTAACAGCACCCACCCTGCTTCCTTAAAAAGTATTTTGGCTTGATCTTCCAACCTAACTTTATTTGTAGATACATTTAAGATCAATGGTGAAAGTGGACATTCAATTATATAAAATTTTAAAAAAAATAAAACTATTCTTTTAGTTGTCAAGGTATGCAAGATGTATCATTTTGGTTACTTAATGTTACAATTAACTAATATACAGGGTGATTTAAAAAGTTGATTAAAAATTGATTTTTTTTATTTTTTATTTTTTATCTTTTATCTTTTTATGTGTAAAAAATGTGAGAAGTGATGTGACCCAAAATAGATTAAAAATTAAAAGCTAACTTTTTGCTAACTTTCCAAATTATCCCGCAGAATAGTGGAGTCGGTGATCTATTCACCGTGAAAGTGACATAAACAAAGGGGGTGTTTGGAAAAAAAAAATTTAGCCTGGTTTAGTGTAAAATTCACAAAAAGACAAAATGGACTACAATAGTTAATAAGACAAAATGTCACATCAAATCCATAATCATTTCACTTTTTTTCTCACACATATCACATTCAATTATAAAAAAAATCTAATCATCTTTCCAATCACAAAAATTTTAACCTACTAAAATAATCAAAAACTAAATTAACCTACTAAAATAATAACTTTACAAACACTCACAAAGTCTCCCGCAGTCCATGAGATTTGGCAAGGATAGTCCTTCAAAAAAAATTTGAAGAAGAGAGAGACAAAGCTCATCATTCATTTCCAATTTCATTACTATATTTTGTTGGTATTTTTTTTATAAATATATATATATATATATAATGAATTAAATAGAAATGATAAAATAATTTTTTATTAAAAAATAAAATACAAGATAAATTACATAACTAAAAATACAAAAATCAACAAGATTACATTACCAATAGAACAAATTATTAATATGGACAATTAAAGATTAGAAATCATCGAGGTAAACTAAATTCTGAAAAATTTAAAAACAAACGAGAAGAAAAGAAGCAAACCGAAACTTGTGTGATATTATAGTTTTCTTAAAACAAATTCACCGCCTCTTGATGGATGCTGGAGGTATGCCAACGTCTGTCTCCCAGAATATGACAGTCGAAACTAGTTCATGCAAAAGCACTTTTTGAATAGTTTCGGCGAATTTCACAACGGTTGCACTTTTTCTAACAAGAACCAAATAAAGTACTAGCAAAAGAAGATAGAAAAAAATTTCACCATCTCTAACTTTTTATCTTAAAACACCATCTCTATTTTCCATCAAAAATCTATCCAAAACTCATAAATTTTTTTTTAAAAAAACTTGAAAATATTTTTTATTAAATAAGCACAACATTCAAACCAAGGGCGTGGTTTTTTCCTTTTTTTTTTTTTTTTGGTTGAATCAGAAACGAAGAAGAAGATGGAAGAAGAAGAAGGAGGAGGGAGAAGGGAGGAGGAGGGACTGGAGGGGGCCCAACAAATGGGGCGGAGGCGGAAGCGGGAGGCGGAGGCGGCAAAGGCAAGGGCTGCGAGGGGCGGGGCTGCGACGACGGACCTGCGGAGGCAACAGCGGAGGCGAGGCTGCGACGATCGGGCAGAGGGCTGCGAGGGCTCAGACCTGCCTCCTCTTCCCCTCTCTTCTCTTTCCCCTCTCTTTCTCTCCTCTGTGATTTCGGGGGATTCAGGGGAAAAAAATTAGGGGGACAAATCATTTTCCTATCTCAAAACACCATCTCTTTTTTCTATAAAAAATCTCTCAAAAATTATCCTTCCAAGTTAGAGGGGAAATGTCTCTATTTATACAAGTAGGGGAATCCCTAACCATGAAAGTCATACATCAATAGGACCACTTAATGCCATCAACTCTAGCCATTAGGGCTAGAGTTACAAAGGTTGAAAACCTATAACGACTAATATGGTCACCAACTCCATCATCAAAAGATGAGAATTACAAAATTTTACATTTCTCATATACTTAATATATACAGATAAATATGTATATAAGGATGCATGAATAAACTAACTAGATAGATTACAAAATGGATACTAATGTCGAGTCACAACCCGATTCAAGCTCAATTCTCAAGCACATGTACAAGCTAAGCCCAACATAACATAACTTAACCCAAGCTCAAGATTAAGTCCAAGTCCAAGTCCAAATCCAAGTCCAAGTTCAAGTCCAAGATCAAACTTAGCACATGCACAAACACAAGTACAAGTCTAGACCCAGTCCAAACCAAGATTAAATCCAAATCTAAGCCCAACTTTATTGATGCCCACTTTATGAGACAATTCTCATTCGTAATTCATTGGTTTCGACTCATTATTTTTGTATTGTAATCTTCTCACTTAAGAACATACAAAACCACTCAGACCCACCTACAGGGTCTTTAAACAATTCATTGTGTCACAATAATTATGAAACTCTCAAAATCATATCACAGAAAACACATTTTCAGACTATCATCATCCAAATTAGGTCTTTTCCGAATTCAAAGCACCAAACAAGTTTGGTCCAAAGTCACTTTAAAGTCAATAGCCTTGCTATTAGGAAACACAGATCTAGTGTTCAATAGTCTATTATTCGAAACTTCATAACATGACTAGTAGTTTTATCACTAGAAATTATTAATTTCACAGCATGTAGTCAGTAGACTTTTCACTACTAGGAATCACAATATCTTGACATGTGATCAGTAGTCATTCCATTACTAGGAATCACAACGTCTTGACATAGAATCAGTAGACTCTCTTATTACTAGGAATCATCATGTTTGGACA